GTCTCTCTCTCAAAAATAAATAAGCATTAAAAAAATTTTTTTAAATAAATGAGAAATCTGGGGTCTAGGAAATGAAAACAGCTTGTGCAAATGGCCGATTCAATTTCTTCTCTGATTCTGAAAAGCATCCAGCACTATGTCTTTATATAGGTCTTCAAAAGAATATGCTGATGACGCTACTCGCCTCTTACAAGTTGGATAATACCAGTAAGTGACAACTGATGCTATTGAGGTTTGTCATCTATGTTGAAATGTCCCTGAGAAAGTCAAGACCTTGTCAGAAGAGACTTTTGAATTTTGGGAGTGCAGTGCACTGCCAGGCCTCTACACTGCTGCTCTATATGCCAAGCTTAAGTACATACAGATCACACAGTGCCTGATGGCAGGACAGTCACCTTTGTCTAAATGGCTTAGGACAGTGCTTTCCGAAAGTGGATTCTGCACAATGTTCACAGGTATCACCTCAAAAAAGGGTCTGGGTCAAATATGTTCAGAATACATTGTAAACTATACCCCTGTGATGAAGAGTAACTTTAAAAAATTAAAATGAAGGGGCGCCTGGGTGGCTGTCTGTTGAACTTCCGACTTCGTACCAGGCCATGATCTCATGGCTCGTGAGTTCGAGCCCTGCGTAGGGCTCTGTGCTGACAGCTCAGAGCCTGGAGCCTGCTTCAGATTTTGTCTCTCTGCCCCTCCCCCACTCATGATCTGTGTCTTTCTCTCAAAAATAAACATTAAAAAAAATTCTTTTAAATAAAAAATAAGATGAAAATTCAAAACCCAAGCTCTCACCTTACTGATCCCCAATTCACAGATGTACTTCCATACTTCATGTGATGAGGCAAATGAACTATTTCTTTGTATCATTGGATTCTGTTTGCTTTCTCGTGCTGTTTCTGCCTATAAGGGTAGAAACATAAATCTCAGCATAGTGTTTTCTGAATACAATTTATATAGTCTGAAAATCAACAATGGAATATACTGTTTAGTAAAAATTATCAACTTCACCATTTTCAAGTCCTATAAAATACGATATAAACTTTTTAAAAAAGATTTGCAGTGATGTGTCCTCAGTTATGCCTCACCTTGGTTTGTAGAAATTTAAAACACTGTTGGTTAAGCACCTCTACAAATTCTGATTCAAAATCCTGGTCACTGTACCAGGCTCCACCAGTCACAGACCGGTCTGGCTGCAGGTTATAGAGCATATATACTTTCTTTTTTGAGGCCTAGGAAAAAACATGCACAAGCAGATGTGGTTATAAGATAAATAAGTCTTCTGAAACTAAGATTAAAAAAAAAAACAACTCAAAACTTTGTATTTTAGAGCAGTTTTAGATTTACACAATTATTGTAAAGATGGTACATTTACCTTGTGCTCAGTTTCCCCTCTTAATTAGCATCTTACATATTAGTAGGGTACATTTATTACAGTTAATGAACCAATATTGATACATCATTATTACCGAAGTCTATACTTTACTGAGATTTCCTTAGTTTTCCCCTAATGTCCCTTTTCTGGGTCAAGAACCTATTCAGGATACCACACTACATTTACTTGGTATGTTTCCTTGGCAACTTCTGGTTGTGACAGCTTCTCAGACTTTCCTTGTTTTTGAGAACTTGCCAGTTCTGAGAATTACTGGTTGGGTATTCTGTAAGATGCCTTTTGACTGGGATTTGTCTGATGTTTTTCTCAGGACTAGACCAGGAAAAAGACCACAGAGGAAGTGCCCTTCTGACCACATCCCATCAAGGGTACTCAATCGTCACCAAGTGATGATTGATCACCATCACTAAGACTTTTCAGTGTTGATGTTAACCTTGATCATGTGGCTTGAGGTAGTGTTTCTCAGTTTTCTCCACTGTAAACTTTCTTCCCTAGCCTTGCCATGTTTGGAAGGAAATCAGTACACAGAGCCCAAACTGAAGGAGGGAGAGTTACGTTCTACTACCTAAATTACCTGGAACTCTTCTGCACAGGAGGTTTGTCTATTCTGCCTCTTCCCACTCATGGGAAGATGGGTCATTTATTTATTTCAACATTTATATCAGTATGGACTTAGGAAGATTTATTTTAGACTTTGGGTTACAATCCAATACTACTTCAGTTTGAAACCTTGAAAACATTGTGTAAATGAAAGAAGCCTGATGCAAAAGACCACATACTGTATGATTCCATTTATACAAAATTTCCAGAATAGGAAGATCTGTAGAGACAGAAACTACATTAGTGGTTATCAAGGCCTACAGGCAGGGATGCAGAGGACTGACTGCTAGTGGGGTCACATTTCACGGGTGATGAAAATGTCCTAAAATTACAGCAGTGTGATGGTTGCTCAACTTTGGGAATATACTAAAAACTACCAAACTGTACATTTTAAACAGATGAATCTTATGGCATGTCAATTTTATCTCAATAATAAGGCTGTTATTAAAAATAAAGGTGGAGAAGAAAGATTGGCAAAGTGAAGGTAGGTGATCGGTATGTGGAGACTTGTATTATTGGCTCTACTTTTGTGAAAATTTGAAATTATCCATTAAAAATGCAGAAGGGAGATAATGGTATAAACTAGGGATTGGTAAGGCAAAAATACTATTTGATAAATAAAATCTCTGATGAACATTGAATTCTTATTTGCCAAAATCCGTGTTCAAGCAAACTTTAGGAGGAATCTTGGCTCTTCTGATACCTAAGTCAGTGCAGTCAGCAGCTGGTGTCCCTGATGCAGCCAGCTCTGGAGTGGAAGCCCCTGGAGGAGGTAATAGGGCTGGGGTGGGATGAGGAGAAGGAGAAATACCATGTACTGGAACAGACAGGGCAGAGATCTTTCTCTGACTTGTTTACTCACATATCCCAAGCACTACAAGAGTACCTGGTACACAGCAAACACACAATAGCTATTTGTTGAATGAGTAATCTAATATGCCAGGATGGAGTAAATTATCTTACACACTGGAAATCCAGGAAAAATGCTCATGATTCCAAAAATTCTTTACTGAAGAGTAAAGTGGTTTTAGCTTTAATGGCGGGTGAGACACAAAGAGTTAATTAAGCAGCGATAAATCTAGGCAACATCTCCAAGCCAATCCAACTTGAGCTTAATTTTTAGAAATCGTTTTGACCAGTAGTTTTAAGTCATGACACAGCTTACAGAACAATAAAAATCTTGAAACGTACTTGGACCAGAACATATACAATGACCACTTGGGGGAAGAAAAGAGAAAACTACTCACTGCCACAGACTTAACAGCTTTGATAAGCTTTTTACTTTCCAAATTCTTTAGAATTTTGTTAATTTCTGTTAATGGCAAGTTACTTTTGTATCGGATATCTCTGCTCCATATTCCTATAAGAAAGTAAAGTAAAATGAATTCAACACCATAGGATGTGTGTTTACAGTCCTACTGCTGTATCTCATGCCAAAACTATAACAAAGTATTTATATATATGTATATATCCCTAGAGCACAGCTATAGAGAAAACAGTGACTTAGAGGTAAGAATCTCAGATAACATAACATATAAAATGTTAAGTTATGTGCTCTATCTTCTAACCAGAAATTTCTTGGAATCCTAGCATGGCACCTTTCTAAAAACACTGAAAAAGATATTTTTTAATGGAAGGAAAGAATGGTACTGAATTGACTTACATTGTCTCTTCCATCCCCTTTTGCATCTCAACTTCTGTTTCCTATTATTTTTACTTTAGATTTGTATTTTTTTTTTTTAATTTATTATTTTTTGAGAGAGAGCTCAAGTCAGGAGGGGGCGAGAGGGAGGAAGAGAGAGGATGCCAAGCAGGCTCTGCGCTGTCTGCACAGAGCCCAACTTGCGGCTTGATCCCATGACCTAGGGATCATGACCTGAGCCAAAATCAAGAGTCAGATGCTTAACTGAGCCACCCAGGCGCCCCTACTTTAGATTGTATTTAGATTGTAACTTAAGTTTGGGCCAAGGTCAGTTGCCACTGTCAGCGTAGAGCAAAAAATACTTTATGTAAGCATCTGTGTGCATGTATACCCATTACGTATACACGAAAACTGTATTTAAGAGATGAAAAATGGAAGACTGGGGTTCTCACAGCCACCAAGAGCCCTGTGCAGGAGGCTATGGTTTCTCTCTGTTTTAAATGCTTATTTATTTAGTTTTGAGAAAGAAAGAGAAGGAGGGGCAGAGAGAGGGGGAGACAGAGAATCCCAGGCAGGTTCTGCACTGTCAGCCCAGAGCCTGACACGGGGCTCGAACCCACAAACCGTGAGATCATGACCTGAGCCTAAGTTGGACACTTAACCAACTCAGCTACCCTGCCGCCCTGGTTACTCTTTTAAAAAAGGCTTGTATATGGAATTTTGTATAAAACATGTTACCCTATTTTCTTCCCAGCACAGAGGCATAATGAGATAGGAAGAAGTTTTTAAGATAGAGAATGCTTTTTTCATGAATCTATTTTTAAAATATTAATTTAACTTCTAATAAATATAAGAATGATATGATTTCAAATTATATCATGGTTGATACATTGTTGAAACTAGTATCAGTGACTCAAATCCTAAATTATGATAACAGCAGTTTAGATAGAATTCTGTAAGTGGGATAGAGAGATATCTAATAGTTGCTGAGGGACCTCAGTCAGGCACTGCCACACTGCACTAGACATCCCTCTGCTTTCTCCAAAAACCAGAGAGATGTTATTATCCATAATTTACAGATAAGAGGAAAAGGAAGAAACAAAGGCCTCCAAAGTTTAGAAAGAATTAAAAAACAAAACAAAACAACAACTCCTTAAGTTTTAAGGATAATTTAGAAGTTCCTTTCCATCCCTGCCCATAGCCATCTAGCTCCTACCCTCCCTGGAGGCAGCAATGGCATCACTTCTGGGTGTCCCTCAAGCATACGTACGTTACACGTTTATGTCATATCTCCTCTTCTTTTAACATACATGGCAGCATTCTCTATACATAGATCTATAGCTTGGGAAGCCAGATCTCATTCCCTATTTCTGGACCTACAGACAAAGACCAGGAAGTTTTTTCCTGCTTCTTCCTTCACATGCTTACCTTTATTTCCTGCATCCTCTATGATTTGATATACCAGTTTTTCTTGGTTATCTGATCCTTTCATTTTACTGCAGGGGAATAAAGTAGAATTAAAAAGGCAAAGAGATACAGGATAATCTAAGAATCTACATAACTACTTGAATTAGTGAACAAGGTCATCACATTGACTTATTTACCAAAAGAAGGGCTTACCTTAAAAAGAATGAGACAGGGCTGTATGTACCAGAATGAAAAGATGTCCAAGATATAGTAAGTGAAAAAAACAAGTTGCAAAACAGTATGGATAGCATGATCCCATTTTTGTTAAAAAAAAAAAAGAAAAAAAAAGAAAAAAAGAGATTATATATATAGTATATAAATATATAATCATCTCTATATATTTATATATATACCTAGAAGAAAGGACATATACCAAATTATTAAGAGCAGTCATCTCTGAAAAATGGAACTCATGACAAGAGGCCGGAATGGTATGCAGGACAGATTACATTATGCAATTCTCTATTGACTTTTTTCCCCAAAACCATAGATTATGTTCATAATAATTAAAGTTTCTAAAAATAAAAAATTGGGTGCTTACCCAGCATTCTGAGAATCCTTTATTCTATACAGAAGGCCTGTATTGCTCCTTAAGAGATCCAACTGACCCTAAAGTTTTTTTAAACAGAAAATAATAATTATTTTGGAGCTATTTTAAATCAATCACAAATGTTAATGTATTCTTTAAAAGTTTACACAAACCAAAACATCCTGCCTTGCAGTTATTTGTTAGTTCCTCACTCAAGACTTTGGTCTTTGTCTACATATCACATGTAATATATTTTCAAAAACTTAGCGCTTTATGTTACCATTTTCCAAATTATATGCTGGTGTCCTGGCTTGGTTATATGACCAATGCATAAATAATTTTGAAGAAGCAGCTTTAGAATAAATAAAAATCCATAGTCAAATTCGAATAAATTCAATCAGTATATGTAATGTAAAGATAAATAATTTATATAAACAAGAAGTTCAAATAAAGGCTAACATGCATAAATCTATAACATGATGATTAACTAAACCTGACAAAATAGTGACATTTAGTGATTTGTGTGATTTCTGTTGTATTACATGGAAATTAGAAAGGTCAACCAATGAATAAAAGATGCAATAGTTTTGGTTTTATATAACAAATCAAAAGTAAAGTAAAGCATGTCTGGCGTGCTTTTGAAATTCCTTGGGTGTGAACTCTGGAGCACTCAGGTGGCCATATTATGGGATTTCTGGCAGTTTGGGGAATCCATGGCTGGGAGAGGCCCCACTGCCGTGCGTTGAGACTGGGATGACACATGACTTAGAAACAGGCTTACATATGGATGAACAGCAATAACCTCCCTCCCCGAACCCCACTAAGTAGGACAATCGAACCACAAAGTTCCATTTGGAGGTCGTTTAATTCAGCCCATGAACATTTCCTGAAAACCCATACTGTGATCTGTTTGGTGGGGCACAAACATGAATTCTAAAAGAGAATCACACAGCTAACATCAATGCTATCTTGTCGGCATCAACACAGAGGTAAGTTAAGGGTGGAATGGGCGCTCAGAGAAGCAGCTTTGGCCCAACCTGGGGGGATTTCAGGGAAGCTTTCTGGGAGACCATAGCAGAGCTGAAGGAAGAGCTGAAGGAGAATGAATAATTTTCATGTAATACAACAGGAGTTAGTCTGTGAAGAAAGGGAAGAAGGGCCTTCTAACCAGTGAAGACAAAGGACCTGAGGCATGATGTGGCAGGGAACCAAAGACAATCTGTTCCCCTGAACCCTAACTTTTGAGGCAGAGTGGGTGAGGAAGGTAGGGGCTCAGTGTGGTAAACCCAGGAGTGTGGACTTGAATCTGTAGTGTTGAGAGGATTCTGGGTCATGAATGACTTGGTCAGATCTGTATTATGATCAAGGGGCGCCTGAGTGGCTCAGTCAGTTAGGCATCCAACTCTTGTTCTCAGGGTCTTGATCTCAGGGTCGTGAGTTCAAGTCCCTCATTGGGCTCTATGCTGGGTGTGAAGCCTACTTAAAAAAAAAAAAAAATCAGGCTGGTTGCACTGAGGCAGATGGAACCAGGAGAGCCAGTTAGAATATACTGTGATAGTCCAGGAAAAAGCCAAGAGCCTGAACACATGCAGAGGTAACAGGAATGGAAAGGAGGGAACAAATCTGAGAGCTGTTTATGAGCTAAAAGCAGCAACCCTTTGTGATTTACTAATAATTAAAAGTCATCATAGCTCCACCACTGCTTACAAACTGTAGACCACAGGCCTGGCAGTAGATGGGGCTGCAGAGATGGCGAAAGAGAGGGAGGTACTGAGGAGGATTTTCAGACAGAAGGCAAAGGGCTCAAAGGGTAGTCAGAGGACAAAAACAGTTTCAGTTGCCACAACCTCCAGCATCCCTTCCACTATCCCTCCTGGAGCTGAGTCCTTCACCATGGTGAACTGATTAGAAATCACCAACAGTACTAAAACAGGGCAAGCACTCCGGCCCACTGCTTATTTTTATAAATAAGGTTTTACCAGAATGCAGCCATGCTCATGTGCTTATGAATGGTTCATGGCTACTTTCCTGCAGAGTTGAGTAGTTATGACAGAAACCTTATGGCCTGCAAAGCCTACGACGCATACTATCTGCACGTTACAGAAAGTTTTCCAGCCATTGAGCTAGAAGGTCGAAGGGAGTAGTTTAACAGAACGTTCACCTGTCCTCAAACTTCCATGAGTCCTTAGTGTAGAAATCTTTTATTCAATTTCTACTACAACCAAAATGAAATGCTTTCAAGACATGGGAGTTTTGATGATGGAGAAATGAAAGGATAAATAGGCAGATTTAGAGGATGGGGTGCCACAAGGTGGGGTGTTTTGGGACAGTGGAGGAGAATGATATTAGGGCCCCAGGAGAAGAGAAGAGAGAAGAGCAGGTAGAAGGGCTTCAATGAAAAACCCCACTGCAGTGTGACGAGACTCATTCCTGCCTCCTGAAATGCTCAGAGTGAGGAGTGAGATTGTGGAGAATGAAACCCTAAGGAACCGACTCTGTGATAACCTGCAGAAAAACCAGATGGGGCATATTTCATAGGTAATGGCCCAACACCAACAGCAGGAAGCAAACAGAAGGTGAGAGCAGACTAGGCCTATGTGCCCCGTGTCTCACGATGACAATTAGGTTAACAAATACAACAGTTAAAACAATACATTTATTTCATTCTTCTTGTAAAATGATGTGTAATTATTTCTTCTTTCCTCAGTTCGGGCAGTCTGAGCTGTTTCCTGGTTTGGAGTCTTAACCTAACACACTTGAGAATGGTTTCACATCTACGTAACAGGAAGTAATGACAGTCCATAGCACATAAATAATTACATCAACTAGTTGAATTTGGCTTACCATGGACAGCAGTCTATTGATGGCCACTGCCCGCTGCTGGGCTTCTATATGAGGCATTTCATTCTGAATTACTTGGTCTGTGATTCCATGAGGGAACTGGTGACATAATTCTATAATCCTAGGAACAAAGGCAATAATGATTTTATTCATGTTCTGACCCATTTCAAGAGGCAATGAGGGAAAAATACAGGCAGAATGGTTTGAAATTGTGCCTTTTTTCACATTTGGCAGATGATCTAGGTTTCTATGATGGTTGTGAATCAAAGCATGTTAGAAATTGAGCAAGATAAAGTACATGTTTACATAATTACTACTATTTAAGGGAGTGTTTCTTTTCCTCACTAATATGAACTTTAAATTAGAAAAGTCAAATGAAAACAAACACAAAATATATTAAAGCTGGGGCTTCAATTTTCTCAGACAGAACAACTATGACAAAGTTAATATGCAGTGCATTGGGCAGTCATAGTCTGCAAGGAGGCAAATCAGACACGTCTGGTGGGAAGACAAAATTTGTTATGCCAATTAACCACAACTGGGTCTGCTTTGGGAATTATCTATACCAAACAAAAATCAACCAAACTGTCCACCTTGTCATAGGATCATCGTACATGTTTTCATAAGTTTGAGAAAGTCAAGGTCTTTAAAACTATGTGGTAACCTAAAAATATAAAATTAGGAGAGGCTTTAGGTGACCTAAACTCTCAAAAAAAATTTTTTTTGTTTGTTTTATATTTGAGAGAGAGCGTGAGCAGGGGAGGGGCAGAGAGAGAGGGAG